CATGTTTGGTGCTCCAAATTAGTTTTATTTAAAAACATATATATCATAGGTGCCCCCTATCTGCACCCCCCTCAATGGTTACATTGTCATTATTGTCATTGGAGAAATATTATGTAAAAACACTGACAGCAAAACAGTGTTCTGCTATAGAAGAATAAAAAGCGATGATACTGGTGGCATTAGCTCATGAATGGCTTTAGACTAAATGTAGGAAGCACAAAGAGAGAAAGTACTTAAGACTAAATATTATAAAGTAGCATTTGATCGTGTAGAACAGAAGCGACAGTATTTTGAAACCCAGACGATGGGATGGCTACAAACTGTATTTGCACTAACATTAATGAAAAAAAACGAGAGCCCTACTGGAATCAGTGATCACACTAAAGCCTCTCTGTGCATACGCACATCAGCACCGTGCACACACACATCAGCACTGTGCACCTGGATGAATACTTATATATATATATATATATATATATATATATATATATATATGAATATATATGAATACTTATAAGTATTCATCAACATCTTAGTCATGCAAACACATTGCTTGTTAGAATAGATGTTTCCTGAAGGTATGGTGGTGCTGGTGGTGGTTTTAACCCAACAGAAAATGTCCAATGTACCCAGAGCAGCGTTACGTTGCGCCACAAAGGGGAGATTACCAGAGTTTCACCGGGGGTACCACTGACTTACTACTGAGTGACTTCCCCTCCTCACTGCAGTAATGAAGAGAGAGAGAGAGAAGCTGTTAACTCAGCTTGAGGCGCGCTGCCTTCCCTGCCCTCTGCTGCCAGCATGCAGATAAGAGCATTACAGCTCACATTCTCCATTCCCCGGTCTTCAATTGTTGCCATTAGCCAATCGAAATGGAAAGGGTTCCGGTGAAATGCAAACGGGGTCCAATGAGAGCGCGGGAGGAATATGAGGGATGTGAGCGTTTTGAAGTGCGCCGCTTGGAAACCCACTAGTTGCAGTTTGAATCCACCGCTGTACAACAAACACAGAAATTAAAATGGAAATGGGGGGCCATAATGTGGTAATCCGTCGATTATTTTTGTGTGTTAAGTCTGCAGGGGTGAAGGAAAAGAGATCAGACCTTCTTCCGGAGGACGATCACACCTTATCTACCTTAGACACACTTATTGATTATAGAATTTCATTTGCCACTTTCCAACGTAACCTGACAGTGGCGTCCTTGAGTCTCCCCATCCATGAAAGCTGTTTTGAATGCTCTGTTCGCTGTCTGGGAAATGTAGAAAGTTTGAATTTGCTTGTTTTTCGACAAGGTAGTTTGTCATTGCGGCTTGACATTGGTCTCAAGTGCTTTTGTATTTTTTAATTCTCCAAATATCCTTCTTTCCCTCTCTGACTCTTTCTCCGCTGTCTCTCTCTCTCTATCTCTCTCTCTGTCCGTCTCTCTGCTCTCATTCTGCCTCTGTCTCTCTCTCTGTCTGTCTCTCTGTCTGTCTCTCTCTCTCTCTCTCTCTCTCCCCCTTGCTCTCTCTCTCTCTCTCTCGTTTTCTCTCAATTTCTCTCTCTCAGTGTTCAAGAACCCTGTATGTAAGGTATACAGGTTCCAGACGTTGGACAGCAAGTGGATGCTGGTCCGGGAACAAATGGAGGAATGCACTCTGTCCTTCAGCCTGCCCAAGCAGCTGTTGTCCTTGTACATTCAAGAAGACGCGACGAGGTAAGCTCATTGCATTGCTCACGCAACTCAACATGGCTGGCTACTAGACGTTTTGCGCAAGTATGTTTTCCATTTAAACCCCAAACTGTTTTATCACGACATCGCCAGGGCGCAGTTGCTTGTCAATTAGGCTTAGACAGAGCTACTTTTACTTTTAGTATTCACAGTAGAACTTTTATCCGCCTGGTGGTTCCTGGCTGATTCATATCAAGGTGTGTAACGTCTTGAAGACACATTTTAAAAGGCATAAATGATTCTTTAAGATTAGCGCCCGTGCTTGGGAGCTCTGCATTATTCATCTGTGTTTAGCACTTCAAAGGGAACTTCACCTGCTCCATTCTGAAACACTGCAATGATTGTCCTCCTCCTCAGTACACACACATATGCACACACATACCACACACACACACACACACACACACACACGTAGATACACACACACACACACACACACACACACACACACACACGTAGATACACACATACACACATGCAGACACACACACACACAAACATGCACACACATGCAAACATGCACACATGAATAAATACATATACACACACACACACGCAAATGCACATACACACTCAAATACACCAACACAAATTAATTCTGCTTAATCTGCACATATTGAACAGTTTTCATACCATACCTAAAAGCAATGTGAACCACAAAACCACTACAGACTTGCATCAGGGTGCAGAGTTTGAATGAGGGGCTGGTTGAGATGATGTTGGCAGTGACCACACACGCACGCACACACACACACACACACACACACACACACACACACACACACACACACACAGCTGATTTCTACTCATTTGTAACAAAGAGGCCGATGTGTTGCAGTAAGTAGATCAAAATGTCCTCCCCCTCAGGCACAACCAGTGTTTCTTAAGACACCCCCTTGTGTTTTAATTCTGGCCTGCTGTTCCCAGCTACCACACGTGTTAAGGTAGCTGGGGTATGTTAAGGTATACAGGCTTGAATACGTCTCTAGTGCAATAACATGGAAACAACAGGAGCACTTATAACAATAATAATGCAATCAGAGCTTTAAAACGACAGCGACTGATGAATCGTTCATTTCACAATCAGTACATTATCAGTACAGGCTTGGAAAACATTTTTCATAATACTCCATAATACCTAACCAAGACAGCTACAGAGCATACTTGTGTCAGTGTGTCCACAGTAGGTTTGAAGGCAAGACTGCTCAATCCAATCAAGCCTCCACCAACATATCTCTGTCTCTATATTTAAGTTATGTTTGTATAGTATATGTTTTATAATCATGTTATTAATAATATTATCATCAATAATAATAATAAAGTTGAATGTTTTTATGAAAGCCTCCACAGAGCTTCTCAAGCTAGCCAAGTCTGCCAATGCTGTTGCTAGCTTTTCGCTTTTTAAGTGCTTCACTGGCTCAAAACTCAGTGGAGTGACTTGGTTAGCTTTGAGTAGCGGATGCTACTGCCAGGCGATCTTTCCCCTTTTACTACATCATTAAATATTAACCATCAATGCACAGTGGGAAAGTCTGTGTTAGTGTGTGTGTGCGTTAGATGGTGTTAATATTGAGCTTATCAGCATATCAGTCTTGTTTTAAATATCCCAGCTATCGATGTCAATCTTTAATCATATTCATAAAATGTTTAAGTGGATGCAAACGTGCTCATTAAAGGCGGTTCTTTTCTCCTGGACGGCGTGTATTGCGAAGATAACGGCTCAGTTGGTTTGACATTCCACACACAGGTTAGATTGACCTGCGACACAAACCCCTCTGTGATTAAACGCTATAACACACTGTGAAATAAAAGGGGCGCCGTGGCAGGGCTTTTGGAAAGGAAAAAACGAGGCATCCTTTAAGCCTGTTGGCGTGTCTGCTTCAGCACAGCTCCTCTGCGCCCGTGTCTTGCTCTGCCTTACGCTCTGAAGTCTGCTTTCCTCCAGCCGCTTACTCGTAAAGAAACCAATCCAAAGCGACTTACAGGAGGGGTTAGGCTTGTTGCTCAGCGATGCCTACAGGTAGACTATATGGGAGTTTTGGGGTTCGGGGGTTCGAACCCAGAACCTTTTCCATGGGAGTCAAACACTAACCATTAGCTGCTATCCTGCCCGTGTTGTAATTGTGTATGTATGTAAATGTAAATATTCTGCAACTTTTTTTTGTTCTCTCTGCTTTGTAGCTTGTTGGCTCCATCACAATGTTCTCATTATTAACTTAATTGTTCCTGTCTTCTTTTATTTCACTTCCTTTAGTTGCATGGACTATTTGTTGCACATGACCTGTCGCGAAAAAAAAAGGAATCAGCAAAAAAATAAGAAGAAATCCATCACACAACCCACAATTTTACTTTTCTTTCTTGTACTTTATTTCACAACAATTTAATTAAATGAATTGAATAAAGTTTGTTCATTGTGGATAGTATCATAGCATACCGTTGATGGTATCGTAAGTATAATTTAAAATGCAACTGTGAACCAGGTGTTGGTTCTGCCTAACCTTTCTCACATATATTCTTTCTTCTGGACAACAGAGCTCTGATAAGGGGACATTTTCTATCCCCTTTCGCCGCCTTATCCCCGTCATTTGGCAAATAGACATCTTACCCTATTTACTGTGTAATCAGCATTGGTCAACCCTAAGCCCTTATTGCAGTCCCCCCTGACACCAAATAACAGGTCTGCCATTGCACAAAGCTACCCTTCCACACCCTGATGTAAAAATAACTGTGGTTTGGAGAAAGAGAGAGAGAGAGAGAGAGAGAGAGAGAGAGAGAGAGAGAGAGAGAGAGACATATGGATTATTGGGAATTGTGGCAATTTGTTAAAGACCACTGTCTGTCTAGTACTGTGAAAGGGCCCATATATAAACTCTGGGAAAATCAGAGAACATTGCCATTTGATTGGTTGAAATAGCACATTTGGGGGTGTTAGGGGGGCACTTTGGGTAAAGTGGTTGTGCTTGAAACAATATATTTGATTGAAGCCAGCAAGGGATGTGGAGCAGGATCTGCAAAGATCTCACTGGCTGTGAAATGCACCTCAACACCTCCGCTACACTGCCGATGCTGTTCCAGTACGATTGCCGTTCAACTACCTCCTTTAGCACACCATTGAGACATTCGTAGGCTTTAATAACCTTATATTTCCACACCTGCATTGATATTAAAGTAACAGTTTAGATCTATGTTTTTTAATCGTGGAGGGAATTGTGCCTATTGAATTGTTGTTTATAGATATACTGTATGCCATTTGGTGGCTGTTTTATCCAAAGCGTCTTAGTACAGACGCTGTGGCCCCAGTGGGAATCGAACCCCGTCCCCTGGCATTGCTACCGCCATGCTCTACCAAATTGAGCTACACAGGACACAAAGTTGTTAGTATTGTGGACAAACAATGCATCCCTCAACAATGAATCTGGCTTACATAGGGCTTAGTGAAGAAACTCCAAAACAGCATTATTTAAATTGGATCTCTCTCTATGTCTGACGTTAATGGGATTCTGTATGTATAAAGTCTTCGGAGACAAACACAGCTGGGAGCGCCGCAGGACTCTACAACTTTTGATCAGGAACGTACGTCGGCTTGCTTTTGTTCATTTAAAAAAACAAGAAACATCCCATGCCTTTTCGGTGCCAGAAGCATAGCCTTACTTACCGACAACCACCTCCAGAGCACCGCAGCACACTCGCCCAGCGTGTGTCTCTGCCCGCGTCCCTGAAGGCAGTTCACTGCACCAAGTTTGTTTACCACTGCAGAGACGGAGACAGAGGGAGAGAGCAGTCATCGTGTCACCCTGTGTTGTCTTTCATCCCACTCTGGAAGAATAGGCCCTGGAATAAAGATGATCTGTGAAGCTTAACCTATCTTATGAAGCTTATTTTGTTTTAGATGAAAACACTGCAATTTGGTCGTTATTGATTGTAAAATGTAAATTTTATAGAGACACAGCTGTTTGGGTTGTGTGACGTCATTGGTTTTATATCATGGCTTAACCTTTCATTTTCATTTCAGTATTGAGACAATTCTAAAGAATTGCTAATACAAGCAGCATTTCAGGTTATATGAGGTGTAATTATCCACATATTGGCCTCCTTATCATCAGAGCAATTCACATATCATTGTTTGTTTTTCCTGAAGGCCATTATACATTCCCCTGAATTATTTCCTATAGTATCACCGCAATTTACTGTTCAATAGGGCGTGTAGGCTGTCCCCTCTGATGTCTCTGATTCAAATGCAAGCCCTTTTCTAACCCAGAAAGGGCTGATGTCATTGCTGCTGTCCTTCTCCCTGATAGGCAAGGTGTTATGCAGTGGTCTGTAGTTGAATTTTGATTGTACTTGTTACTCAATATTCTCATTATTGTTCTACAAATCCTTCCCTCACATTTCAAATACGAAATAGTCTTCACATTTCTACATATGAAATATTGGGTAGATATATATATATATTAGGGGTGGGAATCACCAGAGATCCCACGATACGATATCACGAGTCTTGCAATAAAATATGTTGCGATTAATTACCTTTTTTCAACTGCAAATTATGTCCCCAAAGGAACATTTTGTCAACATCTGTTTAATCTAATAAGATACAGTTTTCAGTCTGTTCATCTCACTTCAATCAGACCTCTGACCTCACCAGAAAAAAAACTCCCCACCATCTAGTGGACTGGAAAAAGCAATTCATTTGATTATTCTAGTACCAAAAAGTTTAATTTGTATTTGCAATAAAAGATCGATACTTGGCGTCCAATATTGCCACGCAAAATATTGTGATACTATGCTGCATCGATTTATTTCCCCACCCCTAATATGTATAAAGAATGATATAATGACATGGAGAATGATATATGTCATTCCTTAATGTTGTTGATCTCAGTATTTTTTCCTAGCCACGGGCTGTTACGAATATCTGTGTATTTTTCCATCTGTTCTGACTTTGTGTGTGTGTGTGTGTGTGTGTGTGTGTGTGTGTGTGTGTGTGTGTGTGTGCTATCTAGGGTACAAGAGCTCAGAGAGCTGGGGGATCTGTCGCCCCACTGGGACACCCTGAGGAAGGAGGTGATTACACACTATGGAGGACTAGTCAGCTCCTACCGGGACACGCTGGCCGAACTGGAGAAAATCACCGGTACGCCTCCACACACACACACACACACACACACACACACACACACACACACACATACATGTGCATGCAAACATGCAAAAACACATGCACAGAACCTACATAGTTATATAGATAATTACTACAGTATATATAGCTGCCACTTTCATACCTAAACTCATAAATATAAAAAGATACACATGCACACACACAAATGAATACATCTGCCACTTTTGTACTGGTTAACTTTGATAGACACATACACACATGCGCAGACAAGCTCAAATCTGGGTGAACAGGGTGTTTCACTGTCTTTCGCTTCGTATTTGTTTTGACCGATCATGTTGCTGGAGGCAGGGATCTGTAAGCGCATAATTTGCAAACACATACTCGGCCAGCACTAGTAAACTGTAAAAAAGTGTCTGTAAAGGTTTCAAATCAACAGGTGTTGGCCACCGCAGAAATGCACTTCTTAAAATCCCCTTTTGAAAGCGTCATCCACTCGCACAAATTAGTTTTCTCATAAAAATATCTCAAACAAAACAGGAAACAAGGTGTCACTCCACCCCTTGCAGTTGTTGGTTTCTGGCCCAGGTTCTGTGCCGCCTCCCCACAGAAGTTCTGCTATAACATAGTAGGGCTGCTGGATCTGAGATTACAGTGTCATCGGCTGATGTATTTTTGGCCTTTTCCATCAAACTTTGAAGACAGTTTTTCTTGTGTCATAAGCAAGACAATTGTTACATTTCTTGCTTCATTTTTGTTGCCATTCCAGGTATGATTTACTTGACACACAAAAGTAAGGGATAATCCACGACTTCGCGGAGCCCCCGTGTCGTGCATTATTTTTCGATACAAGCACACCTCGAAATGGATTATCCCGCTTATACCATGGCCACTTGCAAATCAATAAAAATATAAGGGTGATGATTCGTATTTTGGGGTAATTCTGTCTCAAAAGTACAACTTTTAGCTCGCACTACTTTTTGTGTGCCTGTAAACAAACGGCAAATGGAGAAATATATGGGTCTGACTAATGCCTGGGTCTGACTAATGCCTAATGTCATCTTAGTAAGTAGCAACGTTACCTTATTACTCCAGTAAATAGAGACGAAACGTAGTCCCGTCCGAGCACGGTCCAAGTTGACAGTTAACCTAGTTTTGTTTAGCGCATTCATTTTTAGACTAGTGATAAGACGATCACGTCATAGCCATGCATGTTATTGAAAAATAATGCACACCTCTCCAGCCAATCAGAATCGAGTATTTGTCTTATAATTGATACATTCTAGATGTTGATTTCATTCAAATTAATGGAGAAATAAATAAAGAGAATGCACAGGGAGATTTTGCATCAATTGTCTTCTGCAGACGCTCTGGAAGATCTCATCCATAAGTCAGGTCTCCTGTTTGGGGAGACTTGATCCAGCTTTGTTGCATCTGTGTATCATATGTATTAGGAGAACATGCTAGAGAAACATGTGCTACCAAGTGAAAGAGAGGGGAAAAAAACAATTGTTTTAACTAGGGATGCACGATAACTTTTTTTTTAAACCGATACCGATAACCGATAACTTTCAGCTCCTAAAGGCCGATACCGATACCGATAACCGATAACCGATAAAACACATACATATATATATGATCATGACTTAAGATCATGACATTAATACTATAAACAAACCCAAAAACACTTTTGACTCTTTAAATGGAGATTTCTTTTTTTTCCAATGAAAAACTATTGGCAAGTCTCTCTCAAAAAAAAAAAAATCAATGCGTATTTGCCCGGCTGGCTGTTGCTAGCGTCTTTAGCAGCCTGGGCGTCCTCATATGCTTTCTATGTTTCAGGTGACTTATCAGGTTTGACGTATTGAAGCCAGTGCTACTTAACAGTAGCAAGCGACCTGTCTTCTTCAGAAACTTTGAAAAAGTCCCACACAATCGACGCCATGTTGTCTGTTTTCAAACGTAAGCACGCTGTGCTGCATTCACAGCGTGACGGAAATTCCCCGTTCCCACGCTTGCTAGTCGTTCTTTCAGCCTTTTTAAGTTCATGTTTCTATTGTTTATGTGTAACATGTGTAGAAATACTGTGGATATCAATTCAAGTCAGCAACTACCAAAATGATGACCGAGTAACGAGTTATTTTCCGACATGAGGCAGAAAGAGTTTTTTCTGCTTATGCCAACGTCACTTGAACGCAGCATTCACTGCAGGCCATTCAGGTGTCCCAGTGGGAGCGGGGCGCTGCCGCGCTGAAAACATTATATATAATATTATATTATAATGTTATCGGGTCTATTCGTCATGATATCGGACTTATCGGAATTACGTAATCATTTCTGTTATCATAATTATCGTGCACCCCTAGTTTTAACCAATAGGAAGGGTGAGGAAAATGTTGTGGTTACAACCTGGGTTCACTCCCCAATGTCCACTGTTTTCACATCCCCTTGGAAACAAACATCTCCTAAATGACTGCCGAATTGTACAATGCACAGACGTCATACAATATACAGTTGTTGTGTTTTGTAAGAGAAGGCGACGTATATCAAATGATTTCTCTCGTCTTCTTCGCCTCCTTTTCTATCTTTCTCTTCTGCATACTCCTCAACTTTATTGATTATTCACTCTGGGCTTTGCGCCGTGGCGATTGGCAAGTGATTGATTTTACCATGACTCCCTCCTGTCCTGTAATGAGATATGTGTCAGTGTAGCTCTCCTGTGCGACCGGCCTGTGAGTGATGATGACTCCTCGCCGCTTCCCTTTAGCACGCCAGACTCTCTGGGGGGTGAAGGTGGTTGTTCCGGACAGGAAGGAGTACGCAGTGTAGGTCGTTATGGTTCCTGACAAGCATCACCCTTGTTATTTTTTTTTTATCTGTCTTTTTTTTTTTAGCCATTGGCCAGATGCCACGCGACATGAGACCCAAGCATGCTTCGCCGCCGGCTTCACGCCACAAAAACGCAAAGTGGCAGGAGCACAGGGGGGGGGGGGGGGATCAATTATTGATACCTAATGTGATTAAAGGAAAGGTGAGGAGTTGAGCGAGAGAGGGGGACGCTGAGCTGTAGAGTGGGTGAGGGGAAAGGAAGAGGAAGAGAAATCTCCAGGAGGCCTCAGTCTAACACCGGTAGAGGATTACAGGTGGATCATGGACATGCCGAGGTTAGGGGTACTAGTCCCTCCGGGGCCACCGTGCTAAGAATATATGCAGTCATGGCACTGTAAGATGCTTCAGATAAAACC